CCACAGTGACAATCATGACAACGATGTTCGTCCAACTGCGCCGCGTGGTGTACCTGTTGGTACTTCTGCAGTGCTGTGTGTGTGTGGCATATGCGGATAATGGTGCGGCGTCCCAAGATTTTGAGGAAAAGAATATTTTACAGAAATTGAATGAATTGAAAGCTAAGATGGAGAAGGAGAACAATGATGTGAAGATTATCCTTGCGTCAGTAAACACCGTACAGGAAGAATGGAGAGAAGCGTCAAACCGTGCAAAGAATGCAGCAAATAAGGCCAATGAACTTGGACAGCTTGTTTCGGATGTTACAAGCCGTGCTTTGCGTCTATCTGAAAATGTGAATGAGATAAAGAGTGAATTGAAAGAGGCGGTAAAGAAGGCAGTAAGTGCAGAAAGAGAGATCACTGATGCCGCTGCCAACGCAAATTTGATAGCTAACAAAACAAGCAATTCTGCGGCTGCAATTTTAAAGGGGGAAGGTGATTTGCTTGAGGCAAATATTCTTCTTGAAAGAATTGCTGGAGACCACGTTAATATGAAAAGTGAAACGAGTCAGTCAGAAGTAAAGAGGTTGGCTCAAGTTTGTATGGAAAAAGTAAAGGAAGTGGATTCTTTCCTTGACGAAGTCAGTAAGGTCACTGCAAGTGCTGACAGTTTAGCGCAGGAGGCCAAGGAACAGGTGGAAGACGCCTCTGTTGCAGCATTTACTCTTCAAAAAATCATTAATGATACTTTACAACTTTTCCCAGATATAAAAACAGAACTGGAACGTGAAATTAAGGAGACATCATCACAGGAAAATAAGGAGGTGGACGGTACAGTTTCAACTACGCAGAACGAAGAGGCGATAAAGAACCCAAATACCAATTCCGCACAAGCTGAGAAGGGAAGCCATACAACTGCCGAACAGCAGCAGAATGGACAGGGCTCTGAGGGCCAAAATAATAAAGAAAGCAAAGATGAGACACAAGACAAAAATCAGAATTCTCAGAGCAATCCTCCAACTGACAGTAACTCATCTGCTACTGGAACTTCGCCATCACAAAATATGCCAACTGAACGTCCTTCTACAGATTCAATCTCAATTAATAATACACAGTTAAGTGACAGCAGCAGCAGTCCTGCATTGGTGCACAGTCCCTTATCGCTGCTTCTTGTT